AAACTCAAAATATGTTTGCCAAGCAACAATAGAAGATTTAATTACTGCGTACCCAAATTATGTACTAATGTAACAAATAATTTGTAAATCGATATTACCAAATTAATAAAATACCCGGAAATACAAATCCGACCACTATATTTGAGCCCCGATTATATATATTCGGGTATCGGAGTTTTAAGAATTCAAGAAATCCTACGCATCAATTTTTTTTTGATGATCTACAGATTTTATTATATTAATGAAATTTATATGTAAACTAATCGATCAATTAGATGCATTTAACATTAATTTTTCAAACGAGATCGTTTAGTTAACATTAAAAAAGGATCAATTGACCAATCGACTAGTTATCAAATCAATTTAAATCAATAGTATTAAGTCATGTGATGATAATAGACCCGAGCTTTTCCAAATGTGAGAAAGTTCTCCACGTTGATGAAAATGGTTTGATCTATTCTGATCTGCTCTAATCTGCAATAACGACAGACCATACAAACGAACTTGTGTGACACATCAAAAATATAAGCTGCACGTTCAATAAATATATTACGAACCAATTTTCTCCAATAAAGTTGTATGTAAATTTAGGTTTTCAAAAAAAATTGTCAAGTAGGTAAATCCTAAGATCTTTCATTAGTTTAGACCCGTCCTGCCGATTTACCGAAAAATTCCGCTACTTCTGAAAACCTAAACCATTGCTTGGTTTTGGTGCATACAGACCTTCGTTAAAAAATAACCATAGTAGTAGAAATGGAGGAGCTAGACGTTTCAACAGTTTCTAAGTTTACAACGTTAGGAGGTGAAGACTCAGATGAAGAATCGGATTTCCTTCCGTCCTTTGCAAAACCTACACGCCTTCCACCCTCACTGTCAACGCTGGACGTGGTGAATGAAAAAGTCGATTTACTAGAGGATAAAGAAATGCTAATTCGGAATAAGCGTAGATCGTCGACCACTTCCACACTTCGAGATCAGTCAGAACATAATCAAACCTTAGGAGGCAGAAGAGGAAGCTTGAAATTAAATAATGTTGACAAAATTATCAAAATGTGTGCTATGGCTTGTGCATGTACCTTTGGCATAGGGAGTCATTTTGTCTCTCATGTTATCGGACCTATGAAGGGAATATTAATGGAGGTATGTTATGTTGTATTTGTAGGTTATATTACGCTTTGATATTATCTCTATAAATATGAGCTTATTGATTTCTCTGAATTAAAATAGAAACTTAATCTTACAAACACTCAATTTTCACTATTAGTCGCATCGCTTACTTTATGTAATACTGTAATTCCAATAGTTTCAGGATTACTTGTAGCTAAATTTGGCACAACTCGAAGTTCTATAGTTGTAACTACCATAATTTTAATTGGCACACTTATTGTGACAGCTGCGTCTTGGACTGGTAGAATTGGTTTAATGATCCTTGGGTTTATAATATTTGGGTGAGCATTTACTTTTTTTATTTTATATTTTCTCTTTTGTCTCAATTTGATCTCTGGAAGCTATAAGCTAATCGGTTGCCAACCAAATTTTTATCATCTTAAAAAAAAATGTGTAGCATGGGGTTGGCGCCTTTGACGATCGTCCAAGAAACAATCATTGTTCAGTTTTTTCAAGGGAATGGCTTAGGATTTGCTTTAGCTGCTGGTATGACATTGGGAAGATTGGTAAGTTTTATATAATAGCTAGGGTTAATCTATTTATGAATAACTCGTTCAGACAGATAAAAAACTATTAAAATCATATTATATAACTTTTATTCATATACATTTCTATAAAAATTTAGGCGTCCTTTCTTGCAACTATATTAGCCGTACCATTGTCCATGGTGCCATCATTTGAATATCGTATGCCCTTCATTGTAGCCACATTTACATGCTTTTTATCTTGGGTAATGAACATTATATATGTATGTCTTTTAAGACATGCTAAAAATAGAAATCGCACAAAGGAAGGGGCTGCATTTTATCAAGTAGTTGAAAATAAAACGGTCCATTGGAATGCTATATTTACACTTTCCGACATCTTTTGGTGGTCATTAGTTGTAGGAGGTTTATTCGGATCTTGCGTAATACCGTTTCTCCATTTATCCAGGTAAGTCTGTGTAATTATCAAATAAATTTTTTTTAACATATTAACGTTTTTTTTTTTTTTTTTTTGATATAGTAATATAATAAAACATCGATATGATACAACGGATTTATTGGCATCATGGGATGCATCTATAATCATGTTAATGCCAGTGGTAATCTATCCATTCTTGGGATTATTTTTGGATAAATACGGACACCGATTGTCGATTTGTAAGTGAATTCTATTTAACTTTTATATAGTATTTATTGAGATTTTTAATGTAAATTTACATCAACATTTAGTAATATTTGGCTCGTTGGCGTTCTTGTTTACCTTTTTACTATTGCTGGCACCTCCAAGCATCGTTCATCCATTATCACCGATTCTTCTTTTTGCGGTTGCCTACTCCATAGTTCCACTTACTATGGTTACTCTTATCCCACTACTTACAAAGCACGTGTCCACTGGTCTTGGACTTCATAAAAGTGTAGACAATCTTGGTGCTACATTATTCCAAACAATAACTGGCTTGTTGCTTGATGCTCATGCAACGAAAAAGACATATATTTTAGATGAAAATGGTGTTGAATTAGGACACGAAGATGATGATTTAATTGCGTTGAAGATGTTTACAGTTTTGAGTTTATTAGCTGTTTTGAGCTGTTGTATATTTTGGTGGGCGGACAAAAAGTACAGAGCAGGGAGTCTCGACTCAATAAATACTGGTTTTACTCACGATATTCATGATAATATGGATTACGGACAATTACGCGAAAATGAAGAGGTAAACAGTGAAGGACGAATACTCTCAATGAGCATGATTGATGAAACTACCCTTTCAAAAACAGCAATATCAAATAAAAAGAAAAGGACTACAATGTATATGTGGATAATGGGCCTGATGCTTTTTATATGCTGGATTGTCTTTGGAGTTGTTGCTTATGAGAAGGCTGGAGTACATGCGACTGCCAATGCTAAATTAGATAGTGCAGTTGGTGGGGAATGAAGATTTAATACCTGAAAGGCTATAGGTTATCATGAACATCTTTAAAAAAAAAATTAATTATTAATCGACTATATAGTCTAATGAATAAATTGTATAACAAAATTCAATTTTGGCTAAATTATAATAAGCGACAGAATTCAACCTAATTAAGATCATATCACTACAACCTTTCATAACATATAACTAACTAGTCCTTTGATTTGAACAGTTTATCGTTCCTTTCATGTAAATAGGCACAATTCATAACTATACTAGGAAAATAGATTTTTAATAAACAAATCAAAATTATCAAAATTGATTTTTGCAAAATTAATCACTGCTTCGATAATTGATCCTATATGCATGTATGCACCCTTTTTTAAATGTAATACCATTTTTAATGCATGCATTGATCCAATCTTGAGTTTTCTGCAGAATTTATTATAACCACCCTGCAGAGATTTTCATTATCAGTTACCAAACTACTATGAAATAATGAGTCTACCCAGTTTTATTTTTTTAAATTTAATGGATTGGATTTACTATTTTGTACTAAAAATAGTACATTTTATAAAATTCATAGAAGCATCAAAAC